CTGATCAGATAGCAGCATAGAACTTGTTAATAACGTAAGCACTGATTATTTCACTGTAAGTTACGGAGTGATGAAGGTAGGGAAAAATTATGACTCCTCTGTAATTGAAATACTTCCTCACAAAGGGAAGAACGTCACGAATTAGCACATGATGTGGGATGTAACTGCCCTCAGGTGCGACACGAGGGGATATAGGTAGTGCCAAGAATAATGTATTATCGCCTGGATACGAAGCCCAATCATCCCAACTCCTGAAGAGAGCACTGGTATCGCCTGGCCTACACTGCCAAGACGGATTGTCAAAATATTCCACCCAATCGTAATCAAGAAGGCCAGTCCTGAATTCTGATAACAGCGTCAAGAGCATGAACAGGCAGAGGACATTCCGGTGCAGCATCTAAGTACATCTGCTTCTTCTCCAGGGTATTGTATTCCAATAGTGCCCGAGCAAGATCATCCAAGGATGCCGGGTTTCCACTATGGATATGAAACTCTACACCATCTAAAACAGTTTTGCCTAATGGATGAGAGTCTGAATAACCACCTAAGAAATTGTTCCAGAGATAGGATTCCACTTCACGAGTATCATCGATGGAAGTAAGGTTCGGTTGTCCTGCGAGAGAAATTAACAGTTGGATGCTTTGGTTCTTGCAATCTTCTAACTCTGAACTTAGTTGTGGACAATCACTCGGCGCACAACATTGAGATAAGTTCAATTGAGGTGTTTGGCGACCGCCAAAATTTTCCAGAAAGGCAATATTCGCGCAGGCAACTTTTGGTTTACGGCATAAATCTATCAATCTTCCTTCTGTACCGCCGCTTCAGCCCCAGTAGGTGGAAATTCCAGCAGCTTCGAAGGACCCAATCAGAGAAGCCATCAACAGGAGTGTTATTGCTAAGAACAGTGGTTGCAAACTTGCAAAGAGACAGCCATTCTTTTTTCTTTTCTTTTCAGTAGCTTTGCTCTGGTGAGTTTAGCTGCACAATGATTGGCCATGTTATAGATGAGTTTATCTCAAGTAGATGTTCACCATCTAGAAAACTCAAACATCTGTACACAAAAATGTGAATGGTATTATTTCTGTACACAAAAACCTTATCCGTTGGCGTTTGCTGGATGGAGTAAGGTTAATTTCAAGGACCAGAGCAACTCAATCTAAATGGGTTCGAAAGATATTTTGGTAGACTCAATTTCCCAGACTACTTGTGGACTATATAGCCACATCGATTTTCTCTATAATCTAATCCTAGTTATGTCAACAAGTATGACTTCAACACGACTCTCCAATTGATTACTAGGCCCACAGATGAACCTATAGAATAGGTGAACCTCAATATTTTTAACTATTGTATTTTCTAAGTCAAGATAAGCTGTTAGTCAAACTCTAAGGATTGTCCTTCTAGGCTGACAATTAACAAGGTTGGGTCAATTACATAATTGCCGAAGAAAGTTGACCATTGGTTGAAACATGTAAATCAAAATTGATGATGAATTGGTCTAAAAAAAACCTTCTTCCTTCTTCCTTCTTCCATCAGTGGCGTACATTGGCTCTAACATCCACGTACCCCCAAAACTTCTGGACCAGCCCATCTTAAATTAATGTGCTTTTACAAACTTTTGGGACCAATCCTTCCCATGCGATTTGTGTTTTTAAAATTACTCACATTTTTGCAGGACGGAGGAGGATTCTGAGGAGCGGAGAAAACTGAGATTTCTTTATGGAATGAAGTTACTATATATATTTTGTGAATAAGTTTGCATATGGATTTTCTCCATTGATCTCTCCATTAGTTTATATCTTAATTACTATAATTTTATAACATCAACACGGATAATAATATATTTCATCACTTATGTCAGTATACATAAAACGATGAAGTTTTAATATGAATTAATAGTGAAAATTTGTCAATTTATAATTTGAATTAAAATGAAGTAGGAGTGTGTATAAAAATTTGTGAATTTATATTTTTTAATTTTATTGACCAACTAGTTTCATTCCCTTGCAAATGCACGGACAAAATCTTCAAGGCTATAAGAGTATTATAATTTAGGAAAAGTTCAACCTATAATTGAACAAAACTTTGTAAAATTCTGATTAGTTATAAAACAAATTATCTCAATAATATAATTTGTTTTAAAAATTTCTAATATTCTATTCAGTACATTAACCTATATATGCTCTTCAAATTTGCTATCAATGGCTTCTCAAGATAAATTAAAGAAATCTTTGCATAACATTTTTTGCTTTAATCGTATAGATCATGTCTATACAAAAGTGAATTGAAAAAAGAAATCCAAAAGGATCAGTTTTCTGCCTATACAAAACATAATTTTGTAATACAAAAGTGTAATCGCAACCTAATTAAGGCAATTCCAAACCACCCTTGTAATAATCAAAATTATCTAGAACCAGTTTTTGCTGTTGTAATAATTCTGCAAAATAATGTTCCAGTCGTCCCACCCTGAAGTTACAGCATAAGTCAACATTTCCATGAGAGCTATTAGAATTCCTCCTGATTAGCGGCTAACACGTGAATGGTTTTAGTAACAATGACCTGCGAGTTACAATAACTTCAACACCAAATATAAAGATAAGCAACCGCAAGTTGTATCCATTTGCATGACCATGTAGCAGCAGATCGCTGCCCAATTTACTATCAGGGTAGAGCATCTAAACTATTCAAGGTTAAAGTTCAGTTGAGATTCCTATAAACAAAAAGCCCAAGAAAATGCAAAGATTTGTCCATAAAATTAGATGGCATGACTTGAAAATCACTACATTTCTTATGGCAGCATTTTCAAATATAGTTTACATCAAATAAGGTACGATGGTAATGTTAACTTTTCTAATGCAGATCATTATACTTGACTCCCCCCCTTTTTTTTTTTTTTTGGAAAATGACTCCCCACCTTTTTCATGAATGGGTATCTTTTCTTAACGTGGATGGTCTTGACACCTAGCAATTTATATAATCAAATGGCAATTTCTCATTCTTCAGCTGTTTACCTGTAGAAGAGTTGGCCAACAAATCTGACGTGAAGTTTATACACAGACTTCGGCTACTGCAAGTATACAACTCGTATATGAGGATAACGCGTATTCGAATATCGATTCACAGGAAAAATTGACCAATTATGGACACTATTCGAATTCCTTTATTATCTAAATGATCACAAGTGCAAGAAAGTTAATCTAAACTACAAACATGCAATTCAAGAACTAGAAACAACAGCAAATGACTCCCAGGATTAGTTTTCTCTCTACCATTGTTAGTTTTTTTTTAAAAATAAGATAGAAACAACAGCAAATGACTCCCAGGATTAGTTTTCTCTCTACCATTGTTAGTTTTTTTTTTAAATAAGAATTTTATTTATTTTAAGGAAATTTTGGTAGAGTTTCCCCTTATAAATGGACAAAACTCCCTGCCAACAAACCTAAATTCAAGAAAAATTTCACATGGCCAGCTGAGCCAGTTATTGAGTTGCAATTTGCTGAAGATGCTTTAATAATCCCCCTCCAGCTTTGTAGAATCTCTACCATTGCTAGTTAAATGACTAGGTTATCATGTTTTCTCTTTGGCTAAACTACAGTGTAATTTCCTAATTTATGTGAAACTCGCTTTCGTCGGTGAATCACCTATACCATAACTACTTCACACCTACTTTTTGCTTATGAAACTAGTTATAAACTCATCAAATCTGGAAAAAAATTGGTAAAAAGGCACAATAGTGCCCCTCACTTTTATGAGTGAATTCTTTTAGGCCCTATTTGATAACCAATTCAATATTTAAATTTATGGGATTTAGATCTTAACATGTTTAGATGTGTTTGATAACTAAAAATTGAACATCTGAATTAATTAAGTCGTACTGAAACTTTTGAATTCTCACCACCAAATGAATAGGGGAATGTTGGCATGTTGAACAGATCTCCTTGTCCAATGTTTTTAGCTATGTTTTCAGACTCGAACCGAGCTGGCCGGTTCGACCGGTCGAACCGGGAAACCGGTCAGGTATCTGGTCTGAGTTTTCTAAAAACCCATTGGAAAAGTTCGGTCAAACCCGGTTTAAATCGGGTTGAACCGTGCAAACCGGTGCAAATCGGTTAATTCTATTTTCTCATTTTTGCTTGACTTTCAACTGGCCAGCCCTAATTCTTGATTCTTCCCATCATATTCGCACTAGCCGTCACCACGAAAATCATAGCCTGCTTTCCTTTTTCCACCTCATCCAATTTTCCTCCTCACTCTACGGAGACATGACAGTAGCCTCATTTCCTACGCCGGTGACTTCATCTCGCTAAGGCAAGTTTCTTTCTCTTCATTTGTCTTTTTTTTTTCATTTTTATTTATTGCAAGTATAAAAGTGTTAATTGGCATCTGCTTTGCTCTTGGAGATCGGCTCTATGTACTCACATTGTTTGTTTTCATACTAGTAGTAGTTAAAAACGTGCATTTTTATGTGGTTAATAAAAATTTAAAAAATATAAATTGACAATTTTTACGCACGCTCCTACTTCACTATTAATTCTTATTATAACTACATCGTTTTATGTATACTGACACAAGTGATGAAATATATTATAACCCGTGTCGATTTTATAAAATTATAGTAATTAAAATATAAACTAATGGAGAGATCAATGGAGAAAATTCCAATGAAGAGGAGAAGCCATATGCAAAGTTATTGACAAAATATAGTAACTTCATTCCATAAAGAAATCTCTGTTTTCTCCGGTACTCAGAATCCTCCTTCGTCCTGCAACATCTTGAGGGATGATATCTAACAAACTCATAACATGTAGGCCGAACAACGGCTGGATATCACAAATCAGAGGCATGATAACGAAAGAACTAGTTGAAGAAATCAAAATGTGAGTAATTTTACAATAATACAAATCGCATATGAAGGATTGGTCCCAAAATTTTGTGGAAGCTCAATAATTTAAGATGGGCTGGTCCCAGAATTTTTGGGGGGTACGTGGATGTTAGAGCCAATGTACGCCACTGTTGGAAGAAGGAAGAAGGTTTTTTTTAGACCAATTCATCATCAATTTTGATTTACATGTTTCAACCAATGGTCAACTTTCTTCGGCAGTTATGTACTTGACCCAACCTCGTTAATTGTCAGCCTAGAAGGACAATCCCTAGAATTTGATTAACAGCTTATCTTGACTTAGAAAATACAATAGTTAAAAATATTGAGGTTCACCTAATCTATAGGTTCATCTGTGGACCTAGTAATCAATTGGAGAGTCATGTTGAAGTCATATATGTTGACATAACTAGCATTAGATTATAGAGAAAATCGATGTGGCTATATAGTCCACAAGTAGTCTGGGAAATTGAGTCTACCAAAATATCTTTCGAACCCATTTAGATTGAGTTGCTCTGGTCGTTGAAATTAACCTTTCTCCATCCAGCAAACGCCATCGGATAAGGTTTTTGTGTACAGAAATAATACCATTCACATTTTTGTGTACAGATGATTGAGTTTTCTAGATGCTGAACATCTACTTGAGATAAACTCATCTATAACATGGCCAATCATTGTGCAGCTAAACTCACCAAAGCAAAGCTGCAAAAATTACTGAAAAGAAAAGAAAAAAGAATGGCTGTCTCTCTGCAACCACTGTTCTTAGCAATAACACTCCTGTTGATGGCTTCTCTGATTGGGTCCTTCGAAGCTGCTGGAATTTCCACCTAGTGGGGCCGAAGCGGTACAGAAGGAAGATTGATAGATTTATGCAGTAAACCAAAAGTTGACTACGCGAATATTGCCTTTCTGGAAAATTTTGGCGGTCGCCAAACACCTCAATTGAACTTATCTCAATGTTGTGCGCCGAGTGATTGTCCACAACTGAGTTCAGAGATAGAAGATTGCCAGAACCAAAGCATCCAACTGTTAATTTCTCTCGCAGGACAACCGAACCTTACTTCCATCGATGATGCTCGTGAAGTGGCATCCTGTCTCTGGAACTGTTTCATAGGTGGTTATTCAGACTCTCATCCATTAGGCAAAGCTGTTTTAGATGGTGTAGAGTTTCATATCCATAGGGGAAACCCGGCATCCTTGGACGATCTTGCTCGGGCACTATTGGAATACAATACCCTGGAGAAGAAGCAGATGTACTTAGCTGCCGCACCGGAATGTCCTCTGCCTGTTCATGCTCTTGACGCTGTTATCAGAATTCAGAACTGGCTTTCTTGATTACGATTGGGTGGAATATTTTGACAATCCGTCTTGTCAGTGTAGGGCCAGGCGATACCAGTGCTCTCTTCCGGAGTTGGGATGATTAGGCTTCGTATCCAGGCGTTAATACATTATTCTTGGTGTTAGGACCGGGCCAGGAAATAGACAAACTCAAGTTAGCACAAAGTAGGCGGTATGACCGACCATATAATAGATAGGCGGTAGATACCAGCCATATAATAATTAGGCGGTAAAACCGACCATATAAAGACAGATAGCAAAGCAAATAAAAGACACAGAAGATTTACGTGGTTCGGTCAAATTGACCTACGTCCACGGGCGAGGGAGGAGCAATATTTCTACTATGAAGAAGAAATACAAAAGCCGTAGGAAAGTGGTTCCTAGGCCAATAGGCACTTACAAAAGAGTTTAGAAAATATTCTAAACTCAAAATAAGAGAGCCTAAAATATTTGACTGAATGGGCTAAATGACTTAAGAAACTAATAGCCCATATAACTCTCTTAAGTGGTGCACTTAAACTTCTCAAAGGCCTTCTCTATTTATAGGAAACAATGGAGGCTATTCCCTCAGCTTCTGGCGATGTGGGATTACAAAATTCTGCCACAGTCAAGAATCAAGAATTGCGGCTGCAGCAAGAAGTCAAGAGTTGCTGCTGTGGCTTGATTTTAACAAATCTCCACCTTGGCATAATTTTGAGTACCACTATCGACAATAGTAAAATTGCTCCACCTTCTCCACATAAGCCCCAATGGGCATAAATCACCAACAATGAATACCAATCAAGTTCAAGCACTGTTTGAACTTGTAAATTGGAAGAGGTTTCGTAAACATATCGGCTGGATTGTCCTTAGTATTGATTTTCTGAATAAGGACTTTTCCCTCAGCAATGATATCCCGAATGAAGTGATACTTCACATCAATGTGTTTCGTCCTCTCATGATACATCTGATCTTTAGTCAAGTGTATGGCACTTTGACTATCACAGTGAATATCAGTAACACCTTGATATAGACTTAGCTCGCTAAATAAACTCTTCAACCACAAGGCTTCTTTGATTGCCTCGGTCACAGCCATATATTCTGCTTCTGTAGTAGACAAAGCTACGACAGGTTGTAGAGTAGCTTTCCAACTAACAGCACAACCGCCAATGCAAAATACATAGCCTGAAAGTGATCTTCTCCTGTCAAGATCTCCAGCGTAGTCTGAGTCTACAAAACCAACCAAAGTGTTATTATTTCTTCCAAACTCCAAACATGCATTTGAAGTACCTCGCAAGTATCTGAGAATCCACTTCACAGCCTGCCAATGTGTTTTACCAGGGCAAGACATATATCTGCTAACAACACTGACTGCTTGTGCAATATCTGGACGAGTACAAACCATTGCATACATAATACTGCCGACTGCACTGGAATAAGGAACCCGTGCCATATAATCTTCCTCTTCATCTGATTTTGGTGAGAGCAGCAGATAGCCGAAAATGGCTAGCAAGAGGAATAGATACTGGTTTAGCATCTTTCATGCCAAAACGCTCCAAAACTTTCTCAAGGTAATTTTTCTGGCGTCAAGAACAATTTCCCTACTCCTCGATCTCGCTTTGATATCCATGCCAAGAATTTTCTTAGCTGCTCCTAAATCTTTCATTTCAAATTCACTATTTAACTGCAGTTTCAAAGTGTGAATTTCTGACAAATTCTTGGCAGCAATGAGCATGTCATCAACATAAAGCAGCAAATAAATGAAAGAACCATCATTTAACTTCCGGAAGTAAACACAACTATCATACATGCTCCTCAAATAACCATGACCCAACATAAAGGAATCAAACCTTTTATACCATTGTCTTGGAGACTGCTTCAATCCATATAAGGATTTCTTCAATAAGCAAACATGGTCTTCCTTACCTTCAATTTCAAAACCCTGGGGTTGTCTCATATAAATTTGTTCTTCAAGTTCGCCATGTAAGAAAGCTGTCTTAACGTCGAGCTGTTCTAACTCCAAATTATACATGGCTACTAAAGCAAGCAAAACACGAATAGAGCTATGTTTAACAACAGGTGAGAATATATCATTAAAATCAACACCTTGTACCTGACTATAGCCCTTTGCAACCAATCGTGCTTTATATCTTGCATCTTCAACCCCTGGAATACCTTCCTTCTTCTTGAAGACCCATTTGCATCCAACAATTTTCTTAGCTGACGGCGGCTTTACAAGAACCCAAGTTTCATTACGATGAAGAGATTCAATTTCTTCATTCATCGCAATCAACCACTTTGCAGAATCATCACAAGAAACTGCTTCTGAATAGGTGGAAGGCTCACCAACTGCATCAGTTTCTTCTGCAATAGACAAAGCATATGCAACTAAATTTGCATATCTTTGTGGTGGTCGAATGTCTCTCCTTTGTCTATCTCTGGCTATGGAATATTCCTCTTCTTCTGAACTATCTTCCACAGTAGACTCAGGTGCATCTACTGGCATTTGTTGAATAGAAGATTTGGTCTGAGAAGGACCAGAACTGCCAATATCAAGCTCCACCTGCTTCTGTGTACTATCAGTAGTACAAGGACTAGAAGACTCCTTCTTGGAAGATAACATAGACAATTCATCAAAAGTAACATCTCTACTGATCACAAATTTTGGAGATTTGGGATCAGGACACCATAATCTGTATCCTTTCACCCCAGAAGCATACCCAAGAAAAATGCACTTTTTAGCCCTAGGCTCCAATTTTCCATCATTCACGTGCATGTATGCTGGACAACCAAAAACTTTTAAATTGGAGTAATCAGCAGGAGTACCTGACCAAACTTCCTCAGGAGTTTTGAAATCAAGAGATGCAGAAGGAGAACGGTTGACAATATAACAGGCCATATTGATCGCCTCTGCCCAAAAGTCGTTTGTCAACCCTGCATTGGAGATCATACATCTTGCTCTCTCCAAAAGCGTTCTGTTCATACGTTCAGCCACACCATTTTGTTGAGGCGTCATCCTGACGGTGTGATGCCGAACAATTCCTTCATTCTTGCAGAATTCATTAAATTCACCTCCACAAAATTCCATGCCATTATCTGTTCTCAACCGCTTAATGTGTTTTCCTGTTTGCTTCTCAATCAAAACTTTCCATTGCTTGAAAGTTAGGAAAACATCATTTTTATGCTTAAGAAAATATACCCAAACTTTCCTTGAATAATCATCAATGAAAGTCAACATGTACCTGGCACCACCTTTAGAAGGAGCACGAGAAGGCCCCCAGAGGTCTGAATGAATGTAGTCTAAAGTTCCTTTGGTCCTGTGAACTGCCGGCAACTGGAAGCTAACTCTCTTCTGCTTTCCAAAAATGCAATGTTCACAGAGTCCCATCTTTCCAATACTTTGACTACCAAGAAGACCTCGTTTGCATAAGATAGATAAGCCCTTCTCGCTCATGTGCCCCAATCTCATGTGCCATAATTTGGTAAAATCAGAATCAGACAAAGTTGATGTAGAAACAGCAGCAGCACCTGTAACAGTAGATCCCTGCAAAATATATAAAGTACCAGATCTGTGTGCCTTCATAACAACAAGAGCTCCTCGAGTGATTTTGAGAACTCCGTCTCCACCTGAATACCTGCACCCTATAGACTCAAGAGTGCCCAAAGAGATGAGATTTTTCTTCAAATCTGGAACATGTCTAACATCTGTGAGCGTCCTCACAATACCATCGTACATTTTAATCCGGATTGTGCCTTTGCCAACAACTTTACAAACAGCGTTGTTGCCCATTAAGACAACTCCACCTTCAGTTGATTCATATGTTGAAAACCAGTCCCTGTTGGGACACATATGATACGAACAACCCGAATCTAAAATCCACTCATTGTTAGACCTAAAATTATTTTCCGTTGCACAGAAAATAGTTCCATCATTCTCATCAGCTGCTATACTAGCTTCAGCGGATTCAGTATTTTTCTCAACAAATTTCCCTTTTTGCTTTTCTTTATTTTTCAATTTAAAGCAATCAGAAATAACATGGCCCTTCTTTTTACAATAATTGCACACCACATTTTTATGTCTGGACTTGGATCTACTTCTATTTTCTGTGTTTCTCTTTTCAGATCTACCCCGAACAAACAAGCCATCGGCTTGACTCCCACTAGTTTCCCCAGTAATGTCCCTATCTATCTGCTCTTTAGATTTTAATGCAGATTTAATTTCCCGATACAAAATTGTTTCCTTTCCATAAATCATAGTATCGCGGAAATGCTTAAAAGACTGGGGAAGGGAACACAAAAGTAATAGGGCTTGATCTTCATCATCAATTTTCGAATCTATATTCCCCAAATCCATAATAATGGAATCAAATTTATCAAGATGGGAGAGTATAGATGTACCTTCAGACATCCGAAGCATGTACAAACTCTGCTTCAAATATAGCCGATTCTCGACTGTCTTCTTCATATACAAGGCTTTCAATTTATCCCACATAGCCTTGGCCGAAGTCTCCGTTGCTACCTCACGCAATACCTCATCGGAGAGATTTAAGATTATGCTGGATCTGGCCTTCTTATCCATATCGGCGAAATCCGCATCCTTTACATCTTCTGGTTTGTTCTCGATTCCGTGAATCGCTAGATCAACTCCGTCTTGAACAAGAATGGCCTCCATCTTGAGCTGCCACATTCCGAAGTTGACATTCCTGTCGAATTTCTCGACAACCGTCTTTGTTATCGTCATTGTTGCCACAAAATCTGTAACGTGAAATTTGTCTCAAAAAACTGGCCAAACAAATATGCAAGTCTCGTGAGCGGGCCCCACAGGGTGAGCGGACCCCACGAGATAAGCGGGCCCCACGGGATGAACGGACCCCACAAGGTGAGCGGACCCCACGGATGAACGGACCCCACAGGATGAGTGGGCCCCACAGGATGGACGGACCCCACCAGATGAACGGGCCCCACCAGATGAACCTGTCTTGCAAAATATAACAACCAGCTCTGATACCAGTTTGTTA